TGAACCCGTGGCCTTGGTGTTATCAGCACCACACTCTACCGAGTGAGCCACAGGCCGGCCTTAAGGCCTCATTTATACTACATTTTTGCCCAGATTTAAGGGACCATATTGTACTGGGAAGATCAGCAGGAAACCAAGTAACAGAGAATAGGAAGTCCTAGTTCTTGGTCCCTCCCCATCATTTGACCCTGTGCAAATCACCACACCTCCCTACGCATACATTTCCTCACCAGCCTTTCTCACATACCTTACAGACAGTCAAGAGTAGAGAGTGCTGACTACTAAAACACATATGCAAACATATTATTATAACATTTTAAGATACAAATCAAACTTTTCCTAAAAAGTTATTACTCATCCACCTCCAGTACTTGAGATAACAGATCCATGCACATAAGACAACTCATAGGTTAAACTTTGATATCTGCAAAGGTGGACAAGGCCACAAGTGCTCATTTATATATTGTGTAATGTTCATAACATAACAATCATACTTGAGTTTTGGACAAGCATAATATATCTATGATGTTTGAGGCAGATATTACCACTTCCGCGCCATAAAAGTAGTACCATATTTTCCACTACTGCTAGTAAGAGGGGTGTGTGTGTGCGTGTGTGGGTGTAATGGTAAGCTACAATGAACAGGAGAGTTAAAAGACAAAGATTTTTATTTTGACAACCAAAATCTGAAAAACTTGAAAATCTGCTTTAGAAATTATAACCAAATTTGGCATATGCCTATAGCCTAATGTATCTGCGTCAAAGTAAGTGACATCTTTGGTAATAACCCACCGTTATCAATATCAATAACCCACCGTTTATCAGAATTTAAATACCAGTATTAAAGAAATTCAGTACTTCCCCCTCCTTTTCTGGTCTCCTCCCTGCCCCTATCTCTGCTGCTATATGTATGCCCTCAAAATGGATAAGTAAATCTCTTAGAGCTCTTAAAAAGTAATATTGGGGTTGAGCCATAACCGCTGACTGGATTCTATAAATCCTTGGTAGAAACCTATGAAGTCTTTCTTAGTCCCAGCTAAGTGAGCCAACTGACTAATAGTGAAGGAATAGACCAATGCCTTCAGTTTCCTGCAAACCCTTGGGTCCACACCCAGTAAATTTCACCTTAAACTTTTGCACTACATAATGGCATACACGTATTATCATAATCGCTATTACCTGGTTTCAGATTTTATAGACCACCCATAAATAAATACACCACAGCGTCAAGCCAAACTTGATAAAATCTTCAAGCCATATGTTTAGCACATGTGTGCTCTCAGACTTCCAATTCCATCCTTCTGCTTGGCCAAGCGTGGGGAAACGGAGAAATTTCAACTCTTTCCCACTACCGGTGTGAAAACAACAAAAAAAGTGGCAACCGGGTTTTGTCCTGCTGTCACATCCCGCACAGATACGGCCTCTTTCTTGTCAGCGCTCTCAATTCTTTTCCTCATACATTCAAGACACCCCGAGTCGCTTCCACATGACATTCCAGCGACCATTTGTCCCCACTGCTCGTTCCCCCAAACCTGGCATAACAGTCCACAAGGCCCTGGCCTGGGGGCTTCAAGGTCCCTACCCACACCCAGGAGAGGCCCTACTCCCAACCCCAACTGCCTTGACAAAACCTCTGACTCCAGACACTGCCCCAAACCTCCTCCCCCCAATGCCCCCAGTCCTTCTGGGGCATCCTCATCCCGTCCGGGCTCCGCCACCCACCCAGCAGCCCAGCCCACACACCCACCAACGGCTCTCCGAGGACGGGCTGCGACTGCGGGGCGCACGGAGTAGGTGTGGGTGCGCGGGCGGGCTCCTCGGCGGGCCAGGCTGCCGNCCCCCAGTCCTTCTGGGGCATCCTCATCCCGTCCGGGCTCCGCCACCCACCCAGCAGCCCAGCCCACACACCCACCAACGGCTCTCCGAGGACGGGCTGCGACTGCGGGGCGCACGGAGTAGGTGTGGGTGCGCGGGCGGGCTCCTCGGCGGGCCAGGCTGCCGGCGCTGCGCACGTATGTGCGGCGCGTGGCCGTGGAAGCGTGTGTGTGGCGGGCCCCGGCCCTCGGT